TCTATCTATCTATCTATCTATCTATCTATCTATCTATCTATCTATCTGAGTATGCCACAGTGCATGCATGTGTGTGCACCATTTGTCAACTTCCAGTGTCTTCCTCAGCCCTTTTCAACATCGTTTTTTGAAACTGGGTCTCTTATTGTATCTGATGCTCACAGATTCAGCTGGGCTTGCTTATCTGTGAACTCAAAGAATTCACCTCTCTGCTTTCTTATTCCTAGGAACACAGAGACATATTATGAAGTTTGTCATTATATGTGGGTACTGGGTATCCCAATTCGGATCCCGATGCTTGCACTACAAGCACTTTACCATCTGAAATGTCTCCCTACACCTCTTCTCTCTTTGGTACATTCTCCTTAAAATAAGGCCATTTCTTTGCTTAAAAACCGTAAGATTCACCCAATGCCTTACAAGGTAAATTCCTAGTCTTTATTGATCAAGGCCCTGGTAACCACATAAGCATAAACTCACAACTTGCCATCCTTTTACTTTTTTTGTCCTGTGGAATTCAGAGTTGCTTTGCAGTCAGCTTTTTTTGAGTTTATTGATTCTGTGTCTTTGTTCTTATCTTTTCAATTTACCTGACTTTTACCAAACTTTACTGTCTCCAGAAGCTTATATTTTTCACCACCCCTTCCTTTTCTCTGCAGTTTCTTTGTGATCCATACATAGACTGGAAATGTTATCTTAAATTTGTCTACTCTCTAGACTGAGATATTCTTTAAGGATGATATTTTACCAAATTTCCTAATTTCTTTTTCTTTTTTAACTTTTGTTTTGTTTCTTTGTTTGTATTTTGTTTTTTCAAGACAGGCTTTCTCTGTAGCTTTGGAGCTTGTTCTGGAACTAGCTCTTGTAGACCAGGCTGGTCTCAAACTCACAGAGATCTGCCTGCTTCTGCCTCTTGAGTGCTGGGATTAAAGGCGTGCACCACCACTGCCCAGCCAACTTTTTTTATTTTTAACACAATCTTATTATACATACCAATCCCAGTTCCCTCTTTCTCCCATCCTTCACTCCCTCTACCTTTTCATAACCCTACCCCCATCCACTTCTCAGAGAGGGAAGCCTTCCATGAATAGTCAACAAAGTCCGTCACATCACTCGAGGCAGGACCAAAGCCCTCCTCCTTGTCTGTAGGCTGAGCAAGATATACCTCCATAGAGAATGAGCTCCAAAGAGCCAGTTCAAGCACTAGGGATAAATACTGGTTCTACTGCTAATGGCCCCACAAACTACCATACCACACAACGGTCACCCACATTCAGTAGACCTAGTTCGGTCTTATTCTGGGTCCCTAGCTGTAAGTCTGGAGTCAATGAGCTCTTTCTAGCTCATGTCAGCTGTTTCTGAGGGTATTGCCATCATGTTCTTGAGCTTTTGCTCATAATATTGCTCCTCCCTCTCTATGACTAGACTCCAGGAGTTCGATCCAGTGCTTATCTGTGGATCTCTGCATGTGCCTCCATCAGTTACTCTATAAAGGTTCTATGATGACAATTAAGGTAGTCATAAACATGATTACAGGGGAAGAACAGTTGAGGTACCCTCTCCACTATTGCTTAGACTCTTAGCTGGGGTCATCCTTGTGGTTTTCTCAGTTTTCCTAATGTTTCCTTAATGAGGTTCCTTAGTTTACTTAATGCCTGGTTTTTTGCTAACCCCACAATGGCTCCGTCTTTCAAGGTATCACTTTGCTTGCTCTCCATCTCTGTCTTTTACCCAACTTGCTCTTCCCAATCCCTCTGTTTCTCCTCCCTACTCCCTGTTCTCCCCTCCACCATGCCCCTGCCACCCTACTGCCATGCTGCCAATTGACTATGCAGAACTTGACTACTTCACCTTCCTTAGGGGATCCTTGTATGTTTCTCTTTGGGTTTTCCCTGTTTCCTGGCTTCTCTGGGGTTGTGGACTGTAGGCTGATTATCCATTGCTTTATGTTTAATATCTACTTAGTAGTGAGTACAAACCATGTTTGTTTTTCTGTGTCTGGGTTACCTCACTGAGGATGTTTTTTTTTCTAGTTCCATTCATTTGTCTGAAGATTTCAAGATGTTGTTTTTTACTACTTAGTAGTACTCCATTGTGTAAATGTACCACATTTTTATTATCTGTTCTTCAGTTGCGGGGCATCATAGTTGTTTCCATGTTCTGACTATTACAAATAATGTTGCTATGAACATAGTTGAACAAATGTCTTTGTGGTATGGGTATGTATTCTGTGGGTATATACCCAAGAGTGATATTACTGGGTCTTGAAGTAGATTGATTTCTAATTGTTTGAGAAAAGATCATACTGATTTCCAAAGTGGTTGTACAAGTTTGCACTTCCACCAGCAAGGGAGGAATGTTCCTCTTACTCTGCATTCTCTCCAGCATAAGCTGTCATTAGTGTTTTTGATCTTAGCCGTTTTGACTGCTATAAGATGGTATCTCAGAGTCATTTGCTTTGCATTTCCCTGATGACTAAGGATGTTGAGCAATTCCTTAAGTGCCTTTTGGTCATTAGAGATTTCTCTGTTGAGAATTCTCTGTTTAGATCTGTACCCCATTTTTAATTGGGTTATTTGATATTTTAGTATTCAGTTTCTTGAGTTCTTTGTATATTTGAGAGATCAGTCCTCTATCTCAAGTGGGGTTGGTGAAGATTTTTTTTTTTTTATAATTCTGTAAGTTGCTATTTGGTCTTGTTGTCTGTGTCTTTTGCCTTACAGAAGCTTCTCAGTTTCAGGAAGTCCCATTTATTAATTGTCCATCTCAGTGTCTGTGCTACTGGTATTATATTCAGAAAGTAGTTTCTTGTGCCAATCCTTTCAAGGCTACTTCCTACTTTCTCTTCTGTGAGGTTCAGTGTTGCTGGATTTATATTGAGGTCTTTGATCTATTTGGATTTGAGTTTTATGCATGGAATAGATATGGATCTATTTGCATTCTTTGATATATATTATTCTACAGTCCCTTCCCTTCTCTCCCCTCCCCTCTACCCTCTCCCATTGTCCCCATGCTCCCAATTTACTCAGGAGATCTTGTCTTTTTCTATTTCCTATGTCAGTTACATCCATGCATGCCTCTCTTAGGGTCCTCACTGTTGCCTTGGTTCTCTAGGATTGTAAATCATAGGCTGGTTTTTCTTTGTTTTATGTCTAAAAGCCACTTATGAGTGAGTACGTATGATATTTGTCTTTCTGGTTCTGGATTACATCACTCAATATGATGTTTTCTAGATCTGTCTATATGCCTGCAAATTTCAAGATGTTATTATTTTTCCTGCTGTTTGTGTAAATGTACCACATTTTCCTTATCCATTCTTTGGTCGAGGGGCATTTAGGTTCTTTCCAGGTTCTGGCTATGACAAACAATGCTGCATTGAATATAGTTGAGCACATGTTCTTATGGTATGATTGAGGATCCTTTGGGTATATACCCAAAAGTGGTATTGT